CTTGCTAATGCTGCCAACACTACTAATGATGCTAACCTCGCTAATGCACTAACACTGCTAACGATAACGTTGCTAATGCTGCCAACACTACTAATGATGCTAACCTCGCTAATGCTGCTAACACTACTAACGATGATAACCTTGCTAATGCACTAACACTGCTAACGATAACATTGCTAATGCTGCCAACACTACTAATGATGCTAACCTCGCTAATGCTGCTAACACTACTAACGATGCTAACCTTGCTAATGCTGCTAACACTACTAACGATGCTAACCTTGCTAATGCTGCTAACACTACTAACGATGATAACCTTGCTAATGCTGCTAACACTACTAACGATGCTAACCTTGCTAATGCACTGACACTACTGCCGCTGGTTCGATTCCTGCTCCTGTTTCCCTTAGAGTTTAAAGTTTCTACAAGCAGAGACAGGATGGGTTCGGCCCGATACAGTCACCATCAGAACCATCAGAACCAGCAGAGGTTAAAGGGTAATTCTGACATTTTCTCTGTTTGTATAAATTTATTCTGTCGTTTCCTGCTGTCTGTAGAAAAAATCTGCTTTATTTTTCTGTCTGGGTCCTCCTCCTCCTCCTCCTCCTCATCCTCCTCATCCTCCCCCTCCTCCTCCCCTCTGCAGGCTGTGTTTTCAGCCCGTCCTCCCCCCTCGCCTCCCCCCTGGAGAATAGGGGTCATTGCACAAATGATTACTCAGACCCCGGTCTCCATGGTGATGCTGCCATGTAACGGGCGACAGGCATGCAGCAACGACGCCGATTAGTGAGCTGGAGAGAGAGAGGGAGCAGCTCTGGCTTTGTGTGCCTTCATTTGCCTCCATCTTTTTTTTTCTGGTCTCTCCAGCTGACGGGTGGAGGGAGGGGGCAGCTCTGCAGCTTTGTCTCCTTTCCTTTCTTCACCTTCTGTCTCTGAATGAAGTCTGATGCTTTCATTCAGCTCCAAACCGTCCTAACGGTCCCATCATCTGTTTCCTCATCGTCAGAGGAACGATTCTGTTTCCTCATCATCCGAGGAACGATTCTGTTTCCTCATCATCCGAGGAACGATTCTGTTTCCTCATCATCCGAGGAATGATTCTGTTTCCTCATCATCATCATCAGAGGAATGATTCTCTTTCCTCGTCATCTGAGGAACCATTCTCTTTCTCATCATCTGAGGAACAATTCTGTTTCCTCATCATTTGAGGAATGATTCTATTTCCTCATCATCTCAGGAATGATTCTGTTTCTTCATCGGAGGAACGATTCTATTTCCTCATAATCAGAGGAACAATTCTGTTTCCTCATCATCCGAGGAACAATTCTGTTTCCTCATCATTTGAGGAATGATTCTATTTCCTCATCATCTCAGGAACGATTCTGTTTCCTCATCATCATCATCAGAAGGACGATTCTGTTTCCTCATCATCATCAGAAGAATGATTCTGTTTCCTCGTCATCTGAGGAACCATTCTCTTTCCTCATCGTCAGAGGAACGATTCTTTTTCCTCATCATCCAAGGAACGATTCAGTTTCCTCATCATCATCCGAGGAATGATTGTTTCCTCATCATCATCAGAGGAACGATTCTTTTTCCTCATCAGGAACAATTATGTTTCCTCATCATCAGAGGAATGATTCTTTTTCCTAATCAGGAATGATTCCGTTTCCTCATCACTGGAGGAACGATTCTTTTTCCTCACCAGGAATGATTCTGTTTCCTCATCATCGGAGGAACGATTCTTTTTCCTCATCATCATCAGAGGAATGATTCTGTTTCCTCGTCATCTGAGGAACCATTCTCTTTCCTCATCRTCTGAGGAACGATTCTGTTTCCTCATCATCATCCGAGGAACGATTCTATTTCCTCATAATCAGAGGAACGATTATTTTTCCTCATCAGGAATGATTCTGTTTCCTCCTCATCATCATCAGAGGAATAATTCTCTTTCCTCATCGTCTAAGGAACGATTCGGTTTCTTCATCATTGTCTGAGGAACAATTATGTTTCCTCCTCATTTGAGGAATGATTCTATTTCCTCATCATCTCAGGAACGATTCTGTTTCATCATCATCATCATCATCATCATCATCATCATCATCATCATCATCATCATCATCATCATCATCATCATCATCATCATCATCATC